AGGGAAATGGCAGCAGCTCTTTAAGTCAGAGACATTCGAAGTGAATGACAGAGGGAGACACTGTCTGACCCCCCCCTCACAGAGCCCACTGCTCCTCACTCCCACCACTGAACAGCTCTCGTGGCTCTTTGGCTCCCTTGAAGCTCCCCTGGGCACATGTCCCAGGCCACAGGTTAATAAAGAGCGATGAGGGTTGTTGTTAGAGTTTGATAGGCTGACCCCAGGACTGGCTGCGTTCCTTTGAAAAATAAAATACTTTCATTCCCCCCCCCCCCCTTTACTTTGATATACTGCAGACTGAGAATTGTCCTGCAATGACATTTGCAGGACTACATTAGAGTCAGACCTTGTTTGAGCTTATAAACCCACAAAAGTATAACTTCATGCAATAATGTTTATTGAATGCCAATCATGGGCCAGGCACATGAGGGACAGCTCAACAAACAGACCAACATCTCTGCCGTTGTGGGATAGCTAACTACCACACTCAGCCCACCCATTTGAATGATAGCTTTAGAGCAATTCCAGACCTGAAGAATCCAAAGATTGACATGAGACGCTGTGATGTGTTAGGCTGTTTCTCAAAGCACCATTTTCCTTTTTTTGAAAAATATATTTTTATTGATTTCAGAGAGGAATGGAGAGTGAGAGTGAGAAAGAAACATCAATGATGAGAGAAAGTCATTGATTGGCTGCTTCTGCACCCCTACACTGGGGATCGAGCCTGCAACCCAGGCATGTGCCCCAAACAGGAATCGAACCCTGACCTTCTGGGTCATAGGCTGATGCTCACCACTGAGCCACACTGGTCAGGCCTGAAGCACCATTTCCTTGATTGCCTTGTCACTCTGTGCTTTGTCACTTCTGCATTGATCAAGTGCCACTGTCAGAGTAGAAAGCTCTTTATACCTTTTTCTGGTCCATTTACAGTTAGGTAGGCAAGGTTTGTCAGATTGCCAATGAAATTTTTCAAGTTAAAGGGAAGATGGTTCCATTGGGGGGGAGGGGTAGACATGAGTCTCTCCCCGCCAGTTTCCACTGTCTCCCTTTTAGTTGTAGAGATGTGGAATTACAAACCAGAAGGAAGCCATTTAGCCCACACATGTGCTCCAAGCAAGGACTATAATTAAGTCAGATAAAACTAAAGGCAGTTGGTGGTATTAGTAAGAATTCTTTTGGTTGCAATTATAGTGACGTACTGGAGGCAGCTTTAGACAAAAAAAATAGGTGGGAGGGGGCAAAATTTACTACCATTTTAAGTGGCATCATCTATTGTATAGACACCGGAAAAAAATAAGGGTTTGTTACTTAGCATATGTCCTTTCCATGTACCATCAAAAAGGCATCTGAAAGGTAAGAATGTAAAGACTAAAAGTAACTGAGACATGGTAAGAAATAAATTTTGATATTTTGATGAATAAACAGCATATTATAATATGATTTGTATTCAACGTTCCCCTTTTAATATAACCTTTGTCCCATACCTTTTAATGCACACTGAAATCATGACTTTATCATGGTTTCACCATGTCACACACTCACAAAAATCTGTAGTTGCTGCTGGTTGGAATTTTCTCTAAAAATAGGCACACCCTGGACCGTACCCTGTATAAGGAAAACCACCAGCCCTGCTCATGCACACAGTTTTAGTACCTATTTTAGCCCCTTACTTATTTTTTTTTTTAAATTTTATTTTGGTGTAGTAAGAACATTTAACATGAGATCTACCTCTTAACAGATTTTTAGATGTGCAATGCAGTATTGTTACTTGTAGGCACAATGTTGTACAGCAGATCTCTAGCATGTACTCATCTTGTGTGTAACCGTTGATCAGTAACTCCCCCGTTATGCCTTACTCCAGCCCTGGCAACCACCATCCTCTTCTTTGCTCCTATGAGTTTGTTTGTTTTAGACACCTTATGTAGGTGGAATTCTACAGTATTTGTCCTCCTGTGACTGGTTTATTTCACTTAGTATAATGTTGTCCAGGTCCATCCATGTTAACCTCCAATTTCCTGTCCCGTGTGTGTGTGTGTGTGTGTGTGTGTGTGTGTGTGTGTGTGTGTGTTTTAGACAGGTGTGTGAATCTGGCTGAAATATTCTGGGAACTCAGGGGATTGGGGCTCTTGAAGGGACAAGGTGGACTTTCAACTTGATCACCTATTTTTATTCAAAGTCCTTCTGGTTTATTCCTTCTGGGGTATAAACATGCAGACTTCTATCAGGATTAAGGAGAGAGTCATCAGGGCTATGAGAAAAATCTAAGGGGTTTCCTATTTGTTGCATGGGAAGACAGATGTGGAACTATTTCTTAAAATACCAAGCTTAGAAAAATTGGGACACAAAATGAATGCCCATCAGTAGGAACAAGGCTAAGAAAATTTTGGTACTGTCATACTGGGACATACTACAGAACCTATAAAATCATGAATTTTAGACAAACATATATTACATAGGAAAATGGTTATAATGTATGACTAAGTGAAAAAAATGCAGGCTATAAAGTATGTGTAATGTAATAGTATTTTTTTTTTTTACAAACCTCCCCATTGTATGATTTCTAGCTCTGTAAGTATTTTAGTTGTAAGATAAAGGATATGTTTATAAGATAAACCAAGGGGTAGATTTCTTCAAAAGACTAAAAAGTTGTCTCTTCAGAAAAATTCTGTCCCCTTTCATGCAGCTAAATAGTCTTCCCAATCATTTAGGCTTTTTACTTTCTACTTCTAATCCTTTTATCTGTGTGGCTCACAGATACTTCTGCCATGACTAGTTGGTCAAATGAAGAAGTGGGGTGCAAGCCCTATGACACTAAGTTACCCACGATCTATAGCAACTGTCTCTGGCACACACTGAGGACATGCAAGGGTTACTGGGGCCTGGAGCATATAACATGAAGAATGAACGTGAGCAAGTTGCAAACATCTTTAGAAGAAAAAGAAAGCAGCATTTTTGTTTCATTCCTGGACTCAGAAGGAATGCTTCTATTGTATATCATCAACTATGAAAATGGCTGTAATCTAAGATTACTATAGATTTTTATCATTTTCAAGAGGTGTCCTTGTAATCCTGGTTTTTAAAGAATTTTTATTTTTTAAATGCTTACTAAATTAAAAACTCAAAAAAGATCCATCAGATGTAGTAATTTTTAGAACCATCCTCTACATTTGGTGTTTAGATGGTTTCAGTTATTCATTACTATAAATAATCCTGGGATAGATAACCCTGTACATGAATCCAGTTAGGAAGATGTGCAATAGGGCAATGAAGAACAGAATTTAACCACAAAAGGAACCAGGGCCCCAAAGTGGATTAAGGATGGATACCCTAGCAAGGAAACAGAAATCAGTCCTCAGTGGAGCTCCCAGTCCAAGCAGCCAGTCTGAGAATGAATGGGGCTTGGGAAGGGAGCTGGGATGGAGGTTGGGGGAGGGGGAGGAGCTTGATTATTGGGCAGTAGTCAAGCGGAAGAGAGGAAGGACATCCCTCAGCAAGTTTGTAAAGTCACACTGGGAGCTCAAGTGCCTACAGGGCATCATTTCCAATGGGTGAATAATATTCTCCAACCACTGCACTTTTTCTATGTCATCCTAACATACATGCAAAAAGGTTGAGGGTAAGAAGTTTTACAAGATTAAGATCTTTAGATTAGTAATGCTTTACCCCAACTCCAGGTCATTTTTGGAGTTATATTTCTTGCCTAACTTAAGGTGTGATCTCTCCAATTTTAGCCACTGGCCCCAAACACTGTTATTGAAGTAGCCAGTGATGCGAGAGTTCCATAAACACGGTGGTGGCTGGAATTGGCTTACACGTAGGATCTCTGCTAGTGTGTATTAGCTAAATGGAAATTTTTAAATTAAATCTGGAGAAGTTTGGATCTTGACTCAAGAGCTTATTGACTGTGTCACAGTGTAAATATTTTTAAGTAGGGAAGGGACATAACCAGTCAACAATCTCTGTTTATCTGACTTGATTTATTACATTAAAACTGAGAAATAGAATTGAGAACTGTAAACTGGAGGAAGTTTTTAAAGGTGGTCTTAGCCCAGAGAGGAAGGAGAATGAAAGGTGTGTTGTAACCAGAATACTAGGGGAGGGGGGACTCTTTTTTTGGAGGAGGTGGTGGTAATTAAATCACAACAGTTACATATAAAATGAAAAATCCAAAAAAAAAAAACCCAAATATAAAAAAATAGATTAATAAGTACAAAATTTAGTACAAACATATAAAGATTTTAATATAGTTATTTAGAGTTAAATTTTAATAAATGGGAAATTATATGATGTTATGTTAAAAGGGACAATAGCCCTGGCCGGGTAGCTCAGTTGGTTAGAGTGTAGTCCCTATGCCAAGGTTGCAGGTTCAGTCCTGGTCAGGTCACATACAAGAGTCAACCAGTGAATGCATGGATGGGTGGAACAACAAATGCATGTCCTCTCCCTCTCTCTCTCTCTCTGTCCCACACACACACTTCCTTTCTTTCTCTAAAATTAATAAATAAATAAAAATATAAAAAGGGATAATAAATACAAATAGTATACAATGTGATTTCAAACATATAAACTAAAACATATTCATAGGAAAAAAGAATTAAAATGTTAAAATGTATCAACATGTTATCAATGGTTGTTTCCGGGAAGTGAATTACAGATTTTTTTTCCTTTTTTTTTTTTAAACTACATATATATTATTTTTGACAACTGGGGGTGGGGTGGGGAAAGAGATTGATCTTTCCCCTTCTCTTAACCTCTTTTTAACCCAGTAGTATTAGTAAAATATTTTTTTATCTCTCCATAAACTTCTGGCTGCTTAGTATTTAGTGGACAAATTCTAGAAAAATGAAGGACTCTACCAAGGCTAGCACTAAAACGACTGTTTCTGAGCCAGAGACTTTTCCTCTGTGTTATTCATTCACTTACCTGTATAGGTATAGCTGAATGGATGTTTTGTTTTGTTTTGTTTTAATGGATGAACATAATGATACCCTAGTGAAAGATTTAGGTTTATAATGTTTACTTGAAGTAAAGACAATAAATATGCCTTTGTTTTATTATGCTTTACATATTTAATAAAATAATCTGAATTAGAAGCCTAATGTAACAACTAAAAATAAGTTTATTTTCCTTCATTGTTTTCAGGTGCTAAGTAAGCTTTACCAATAGTCTGTGATAACTTTGGCTTAATTTATAGATAGGAATTAATACCAATAATATAATTTATAGACACTTTTTTACACATCTTAAACTGTGAAACAAGTTTGGGGTTTCTTCTCTGTCTTTCAGACATTAGGAGAAAGAGGTTTCTTCTCAATGGAAAAATGTATTCTTCTTATCCTAAAGTAAAGAAAAATGTGAATAAGTAAGTAAATTTTCACTCTGGGAAAACGCCCTTTAATCCCAACCCCACTTTAATCTAAATTGGATTTGTTCCCAAATGTACTTCATTTCGTAGAGCAGAATGTAAAAGCCACAACCACATGATCCAAGTAACCGAGAAACCACTCCTCCTCCCATGGGGGCTCGTTAGAAGCACAGAATGTCAGGCCCCTGGCCAGACCTACGGCCTCGGAATCTGAATACTAATAAGAGACCCAGGTAATCTGTAGGCACATTGAAGCTTGAGAAGCACTGGGCTAGACAACTTCTTGTTGTTTTCACACGCCACAGACTGAGAAGGCAATTGATCAAAGAAAATAAATGAAACTTGTGAGGATGGTGAAAGTGAAACATCTGTTTGCAGTCTCTAACAGAAATGTGTTTTAGAGCTACAAATGGATGATCATAATTCTAAATTTAAAATAATGTGCATGAAATATTGGAAAAGTCATAGCTGCAATGATTGTGTTGTTCATGAGAAAGAGGAAAGAAGCCCAAGTGAATAATAAAAAAAAAAAGAGGACTAATCAGACTATCTAAGTGAAGTACGTTTTATAGGAGAAGTTCCTGGAAATATTGTAACCCCTGGAAAACCTCTCTTTGAAAGCATTAGTTCAAAGGTGTTTGTAAGATATGTGAAACTTATCATGGTTCACACACTAAAGTCAATAGGTTCCCTTGCTTTTCCCTCTGTTATCTGCATTCTGTTTAATTTAGCAGTCTCAAGTGGTGGAACACCCTATACTTTTGTGGAGGGGGAGATGTGAGTTAGCAGCAAGAACATTCTGAACATATAGTATGCATTCATCACATACATGCCGGTTTATCATTCATTGGTCATTCTCGTGACAAAACGTGATTGAGCACTTAGCCTGCCAGGCCCAGTGCTAAGTTCTAGATCAGTGATGGCGAACCTTTTGAGCTCGGCGTGTCAGCATTTTGAAAAACCCTAACTTAACTCTGGTGCCGTGTCACATATAGAAAGTTTTTGATATGTGCAACCAGAGTAAAAGAAAGATTTATATTTTTGATATTTATTTTATATATTTAAATGCCATTTAACAAAGAAAAATCAACCAAAAAAATGAGTTCATGTGTCACCTCTGACACGTGTGTCACAGGTTCGCCATCACTGCTAGGCTATTTTTGATTTATTTTTCTAAACAATACCATAGTTTTAACAGCCTAAAAAGAGGTCTGAACCCGAAAATATATTAATTTTGGTAATATGAAAACTGTGCCCCAGTGAATAGTCACTCAATCTAAAATTACTGCCGTAATTGGAGGTTTTTTCATTAATAATGAGAAATGTTTAATTCTTAGTTATTGGTCTGATTCATATTGACCAATCAGTTATAATTTGTATACAGATAGTGGCAGTTCTTATGGCAAAATGTGGCTGGCAACTTACTGATGTGAAGCAAAGATAGATAACAGTAACAGTTACATATGGTAACATGATCACTATAAGGGCTTGACATGGGCTGGAGATAGAGGGCTGAGGCCTCCTAGGAAGGCAGTCTGGGTGAGTAACAATGAGCAGGAGCCATGAACAAGTCGCTCCTACATTGTATGGATGGAAGTAATGCAATTATGGTCAAAATGAAACATATTTTTAAATCATGTGTCCCCAATTGAGGAATTGGGTAATCTATTTTATGTCTTCAAATGAAGGTAATTTTGTTTTTTCAAACCAGTCTTATAACATGGCATTTAGAAAATTATTCACCTTGAAAATAAATTGCTTTACAAGTTTGCTTGGAATGATGGATTTACCCACTGTAAGTGGACCTGACAACTTGGGTGGAAAGTTGAAATCAACAGCCCCCAATGGGCACGTGGCCCAGACTTGGGTTGAATCAACCATTGCTTCATGACACAGATATCTTTGTAGATTTTGAGTGTAGTTGCCTCCCAACTTCTAACCCTGCAATCCCATAGCCCTGGCATTGTGCCTGTTTAATCACCACGACTAGTTCCACCCTTGTTTTCCAATGACTGGAGTCTCTGCCATGATGGCCCAGTGATTCAGAGTATAGTCTCGGAAGTTGGGTGGACACAAAGTTTGTAGCTCTGACCTCGCTACCTCCTAGACATGGGATCTTGGGTAATGCAATGTCTCTATGCCTCAGTTCTCACCTGGAAAACGGAGATTAAACATCTCATCTCATGGGATCATGTGGATTACAGAACTATATAAGACACTGCCATGCCTGCCACATGGTAAATGGTGGCTATTACTACTTTTTAAACCCAGGTCTCCATACTGGTTCCTTTTTGCTACATGAATCTCCTATAGCAACAAGGGTTTCTGTTTATTTGATTGTATTAACTTGTGTCTTAGTTTCTTAGTGGCAGTATTTTCTTTCTACTGATTTCATATTCCAGAGGCTGTCTCCCTAGGAACCCTTCTCCTTTGTCCCACTTTTGCTGACCTCTGTACTCCAGGTTCAACAGACACCCAGGCTTGGTCACGGGGATCCTTCTCCTTTGTCCCACCTTTGCTGACCTCTCACTGTACTCCAGGTTCAACAGACACCCAGGCTTGGTCACTGTTTGTCTCAAAGAGGCAGTCGTGCCTAGTGGTTAAAAGCCACGAAGACTAGCTGCCTGGGTTTGAATCTTAGCACTTCCACTTACAAGCTGAGTGACTCTAATAAATTATTTAACCTTTCTGTGCCTCAATTTCTCATCTGTGAAATGAATTGTACCTGTGTCATGTGATTGTTGTAAAGATGAGAAAGATTAATATATGTGAAGAATCTAGAATCGTAAGTGCTACACAGCATTTGCTATTATGAATCTCACTTGAGTAACCCCGAGCTTGGCACATACCCCCTTCTTTCTTCTCACTCTGGGGTAACCTCCTAATTGTAGAGATATTTTTAGGATTTGTATACCCAGTTTCATGTCCCTAGACTATCTGGACACTGCTTGTGCTTCCATGTCAAGACCCCTGCCTTCTCCACATCCTGCCACAAATGTTCCTGGCAGACACTGGCTGTGACAGTGAAGAATGAGGAATATTTTGTTCTAAACATTATGTCTGTGAGGAGCAGTGCACTGCACCCAGACTGGTGGCCTCCTACGTAAAATAGGGTGAAACCAAGGGAGCCCAGCAAAGCGGCTGCCTTATTCTCCCTTACTTTCCTCACCCGCCTCTCCCCATTTCCACTGGTAAACAAAGGTCATCCATCTGGAAGCAAGATTCCTCCCCACTGAGGCTGACTGTGCGCTACAGTCTCTTATGTGGCTAATACAAAGCAAAGGAAAGAGAAGTGCAACTCAGAGCATGAACTTCCGTTGCATACATGGGGTCAGTTGGTTAGCTGCACTGTTACTGTTTAAATTCCACAATGAGGCAATGTGGCTAACCTAAAAGTAACCAGAGAGAAGCAAGGCAAAAGAAGATTGAATTTTGATTGAGAACTTTGACTAAAGCATACACCACTGGTGTGTAACCTGTTCTGTGCCTTTAGGGCCTTGGAGGAAGTCGGGGTATTGGGGTCTTACTTCTCAGCCCTCCGTGCCTCGAATAGTACTTGGCTTGTGGCAGTAATGTGTTTCTGCTGGGCAGTCCTGGCTTCAAGCCTCCCACGGGGAAATTCCTTTTAATGCTCCAAATCCCTTCCAGGGCCACTGTTAATATTTTCAAAAGCAAGATGATTATTAGCTTATTCTCTTTTTAGCACAAAGTATTTTAAAAATATTTATGTGGTAATTATTTTTGTCAGTCATTTTGGGTGACAGTTTATATGGTTTGATTAATCAGACCAAAGGTCTTTATTATTTGTTTAATCTTTTATTCCAGTTCATTTCATTATTCCTTATGCAGTTAAACCTCTACAGTGCTTAATTAGATCATTTAATTTGATCCTTAAGAAGTAGATGAAAACCCAATATGGAAATATAAGTAATAAAATGCAGAAAAATCAAGAATATATAATAGTTAAGATATAGATTTCATTCAGTCAACTTTGTCTGATTCTGATTTTTTAAATTAAATCTTTATTGTTAAAAGTATTACATATGTCCCTTTTCCTCCATTGACACCTTCTAGCCAGCCCGCCCCTGGCCTTAGGCCTTCACCATTGTCTCTGTTCAAGGGTTATGCATATATGCATACAAGTTCTTTGGTTGATCACTTCCCACCCTCCCCTGCCTTCCCTCTGAGATTCTACAGTCTGTTCTATGCTTCTATGTCTCTGGATCTATTATTCATCAGTTTATGTTGTTCATTAGATTCAACATATGAGTGAGGTCATGTGATATTTGTCTTCCTCTGACTGGCTTATTTTGCTTTGCATAATGCTCTCCGTGACCCTCCATGCTGTATCAAAGGGTAAGAGATCCTTCTTTTTCCTAGAAGTGCAAATATTTCTAAAAATAATATAACCCAAAGTGACCACATTAATTCATCCAGTAGATTCAATGATCTTCTAAAAGCCATAAACTAGATGCTGTTTAATCTCCCCTTTAAAGAAATATAAACTCACTAGAAAACACTATAGCAAAATATTTGGAATGTGCTGTCTACACATTGGCAGATTATAGGCCTAAATCCTGATACCATTCAATAAGTATTGGTTTAGTAATGATTTGCACTGGGCTTTCCTCCCTATCCTAAAGACAATTAGTCCGTTTTCAGAGTCAGTCAACATAAATTTGGTGACAATCTACTGTGTAGAAACCTGTGACCCAAGTCAAGTAAGGTAGTGAATTCAGGTTAGCGCCCAAGTTGTTTTTCCCATTTTGGAAGCTGCAAATTTCAACGGCAAACATTTTCTACAGATCCCAGGATGCCCACGGGCATCCACGCTGACATCCGAGCCCTCGCTAAAGGATTTCATACCTGTAATGATTAGGGGCTCAGCCTTTGAGTCGGCAGGAGATCTGGGTTTTAGTCTCTGCTCCACCACCTACCAGTTGTATAACTTTGGGCAAGTTCTTTAACCCAATATGCCCCAGTCTCCTCGTCTATGAAATGGGGATGATAATAACTACCTTACAGGCTAATTATAGGCCTGGGATAAAATGGAGAAAAGGTGCTCTACACTTAATAAATAGAAGCTATTATTTGGAAAGGGACAATAATTTTCCTGTCCAAGTATGGACTTGGATTCCATTTCTAGAGGCATCGTGACTGAGCTAATTCTCTGAGCTGAATGTCAATGCTTGCTTCTCCTTCCCTCCCCTGAATAGAGCAGCTGAAGCTATCTGTCAAGATTAATTTCTTCCGTCTTCTTCAAAGACCTTCAAGGAAAACTCCACAATCTCCTTCTGTCAAGACTTACAAGGTTTAAGCTGTTTCTTGTATCTAACCTAAATCTTCCCCCACCATTCAAACCAGGTTCCTCTTCTTCCATCAAATCTAGAGATAGAAAAGGGCTGCTCACCAGCCTCTGGATAGTAGGCGCTCAGATCTAGGAGTCCCCAAACGATGATTAAATACCCCCTGTGCAAGGCACCCCGTAAGAGACCAAGGAAGAAGATTTAGATTTGTTCTGCACTGTGGGAATGTCAGGTAAATGGAATACAGTTTAAAATCGGTTGGTAGAACTATGTAATAAAACCATGGCCAATTAGTTAGAAGACCTGCACTAGTCTGATTTAGTTGTGGTCTTTCGGATGCAATCACAGGCATAGCTGGAAGTTTACAAGTAAATAGGAAAAATACCTGAAATGCAGATGCTCAGAAATGCATGAAAAAACAAAAACACCCTAGAAGGATAATATGTGCATAAGCATGTACTGTACTCAAGGGTAGAGGCTGCTGGAAAAAAATAGCATTACTTTGATGTGATGTTTGGATGAAGAAGTTACGAAAGATGATATGTTCCACTGGAGAAAGATGATATATTCATCTGGAAAGAAGCGCGGATACCCTCGGAAGCAGCTGCCTCTTTAAAGAGAAATCCAGCTCCCTCAGCTCCAGCCATGGTCATGGCCACGTGCATTCCAGGAGGAGGAAGGAACACAAAGCGGGGGCAGCGCCAGAGACCTGTGTTGGCAGCTGGACCCGAAAAGGAAAGGGGCAGCGGGCACAAGAGAGAAGCTCCGAGAGAGGAATTAAATTCTTTCTCGAAACTCAGAATCTTCCAGACATTCTTCTTTCTCCTCCTCTCATGCCCCCAGCCCTTTCTAGTCAGAGACCTTTGGAGGTATGTGGTTTTTTTTAATCCCCACCCGAGGATATGTTTATTGATTTGAGAGAGAGAGAGAGAAAGAGAGAGAGAGAGAGAGAGAGAGAGAAACATCAATGTGAAAGAAACATCGGTTGCCTCCCCTACTCGCCCTGACCTGAGATTGAACCTGCAACCGAGGTGTGTGCCTTGACCGGAATGAACCTGCAACCTTTCGTTGTATGGAATGACACGAGTCAATCAACTGAGCCACACAGCTAGGACTTAGGTGTGTTTTTATTCTGAATTTTAAAGTTACTAAACCATGCCTTTATGCTGGGAAGTGCAGCCAGTGGGGCCTGGCCTGGTCTCTCAGGGAAGGAAAGCTCACCCTTTAAAAATATTTGTGTTCCCTTCAGCTATCTCTGGACTGTGCACAACGAACATCAGAGCCTGAAAAGCCAGTTTTGAGCCATGTCATCTATGCCTCCTTTGAGGTATGTGTCAGATCTGATCAGAGGAAGAAAAATGTAAGTGATTTAAATTTATGTTTGTTGGCTTCCAGGCTCTGTAATTATCTTGACATGCCTTTGGCGTGGAGTAAATTCCTTGCATATTGTAGGTAAATGAAACATTTTTGTTGAATGAATTAACAAATAACAAACACATCCACTCTCACATAGCAACATTTTACATTTTCTCAGTTGGTACTAAACATAATAAATAAACCAGACTCTAAATTAAGTTTCCGTGCATTAACACACACAGAGACACAGATGAATGGATTTGGCAGGACACTATTGAAAGTCATTGGGAAAGGAAATGTGGAAGAGAAAACTAGAAAGCTTCATTAATCAAATTTATCATGACTACTTAATAAAGTTTGGCAGGTCTTAGCCAGAAAAATACAAAAGCCCTTGCAATGTGAAAACATTAAATTAGAATATTCGTTTTATTTCTGCAAAGTCCTCTGTAGAATTTCTTAGAAACATAGAAATCATTTTAAGATAAATCATTCCATAATGCATGCTTCCCAAACTTACCTCTTCTTTTTAAAAAGTTCTAAGGAGGGGGAAATCTTCAGGGAATCACTAAAAATATGTGATGTCTGCTAAATTCTCATATATCCAGAAAGTCCCATAAGTTTCCCCAAATTCCATTTTCACCTGACAGGAGATCTGATCAGAAAATTGCATTTCTTTTCTTTTTTTCCAGGATGCTGAGAACTTTTCTATAGGTCCTGGCCCTGTTCTCACCTGTCAGGAATGGGTGTGATGAAACCTCCATTCTGAATCTAAACTGGGGCTGAAACTGGAGAAATGTGCCAACTTTTGTTTTGGTGTTGGTTTTGGTGTGTGTGTGTTAACTGACGAGAGTACTATTTGTAACGTAGTCCTGTTTTTTTATTTTTATTTATTTATTTATTTTAAATATATTTTTATTGATTTTTTACAGAGAGGAAGGGAGAGGGATAGAGAGTTAGAAACATCGATGAGAGAGAAACATCGATCAGCTGCCTCCTGCACACCTCCCACTGGGGATGTGCCCGCAACCAAGGTACATGCCCTTGACCGGAATCGAACCTGGGACCCTTCAGTCCGCAGGCTGATGCTCTATCCACTGAGCCAAACCAGTTAGGGCCATAGTCCTGTTTTTTAAAGAAGGACAGTATAACTCCATGGTTAGAAGCCTACATTCAAATATCAGCTATTTCAATGTGTGACAATGGGCAAGTCACTGAACCTCCCTGAGCCTCGCCTTCCAGATCTGCAAAATGGGACTAATAAGAACACAGGGTTGTTGCAGGAATTAAGAGAGATAATTTGTGAACACTCTCATGTCCAGAAGACACACTGTGAATGATAGTCATTATGATAATAATTAGTATTCCCATCATTACCATCATCATTTTATATCCTATCTAATAATAGACAAACATGGTAATTGGCCGTACCTTTGCTATGCCTCCCATTGGCTAATCAGCGCAATATGCAAATTAACCATCATTTGCATATCAACAAAGATGGCAGTTAATTTGCATACGTAGGCTCCAAGTGGCGGAGGGAAGACTGAAGGTGAGCCAGAGCCGAGAAGATGGAAGACTGAAGGCGGCTCCGGCCGGAGCAGCAAAGATGGAAGACTGAAGGCGGCTCCGGCCGGAGCCAAGGCCTGGGTCCCGGGTGCCGGAGGAAAACCGGTGCTGGCAGCCAGGGGAAGGGAAGGCCTATTGCACGAATCTTTTTGTGCAACAGGCCTCTACACCCTTCATCTACCTCACCCCTCACCACAGCATCCAATGCTTCTTACTGAGCCCATATGTCTCTGCTTCAGGAGCCTGGAAAAAAAATCAAAAACCCAGAGAAGAGAGGTTTTAGAGGCCTGGCAGCTCATTTTTTCTGTGGTCACTGATGCCATTCCCTAAACCCAAGCATGGGGACACAGCAACCACCACATAGAACATCTTGGCCACTGCATGGTCTTCACAGCTCTTATTAACTGTTGTCACAACACAGCCAC